GCCCTACGGAGGGGGGGGGGGGAGAATGCTTCTGCCTATTCTCACAGCACCTTTGAGCCATGGGACGGAGCTGTTCGATGGTTATTTTTCCTGTCTATCGTACTGCTTTGCAGCGTACCTGGCGACTCTGAAGATACTTGTCTCTTGTGCTCTGTGACATGATCTGGAAACAAAATATGTAATGACATGATCCAGAGAAATGGCTGTTTCAATATATCCAATGTTGCAGATGAACAGTGAACATTGCTGCTTTCTACCCTGCCTCTGTGTTGCCATGTGGAAGCTTTCTAACAGGAGTTGCAGTACCCCGGGGGATGAAAAAGTCTGAAGGAGCGGTGTGCTAAAATGTGATGACTGTGCTCTCTGGGCACCTCAGGTGCTTTAGTAAATTTCCATATTCTGGCCTAGTGAGTTTTCTCATTTGCCTCACTGCACCCTCAGTACAGACAAGATTATTGCTTACAATTTATGATTTACAGCTCCCGATTATGCTACTACATTTAAGACGCAGTAACATAGTTCTAATCTGCGAGGTTTCTTTTATCCTGATTTGTTCAATTTTTCTTCCTTCCTGCTTTTGTTTTGCTTACCTGTGTTACCTCCCTCTTCACAAGTAGACAAACATACCCCCAGATTTGGTTCTCAAAAGTAGATTTTGCACTAGAAACAGCTCTACTATGAAAAATTCTAATGTAAATGTTTTCTTAAAAATACAAGTGCATAATTAGTCCAGTGAAATGGTTGCAACACAAATAATCAAAGCTAATTAAATGTAAGCCCCCCCCCCCCCAAATGTGATGGCGTGGAAGCTGCCCTTTGAATATGTCACATTAATAATCTGTATCATGGTAAGGTAGTATTACTAATATGCATAAGAAAATGTGGTTTTAAAGAAAGGTTTTAAAGAAAGGTATTCAGTGCAGATCTGCATTTCTCCTTTGAAATTCCTAAGTCGGTCTTAAAGTTGTAAAGAGAAGTCAAACAAGGGATCAAATATGGACTTTCATCTTTTATTTTGATTTCATGTATAATATCATCAGTGCTAAGATACTGGGGACCACCACTCCTGAAAAACTCACCTAAGCAGCTATATGCAAGGCAGTTCCTCTCCAGCAACACATTTTGCTGCATTTCTATTTGACTGTGTCAGAATGGGCCATACATTATTGATCTGGAGCGTAATAAACAATTTGAGAAAATAGGAGCTACACATCATTCATTTATTTTGGCTCTATGCTTACTTGAGGATTAGAACTGTAAAAGAATTTAATGCTTTTCCTAATGGTCTTTTTCCCTTCATTCTTTGGGCAACATTTAAACATTAAAAACCCCTCAGTTAAGAAAAAGACCTGATTATACTGATTTTGGTGACAGTCATACTCTACAGGTCAAAACAATTGTTAATATTCCATCAATTCAAAATTCAGAAGTAATTTTCTGCTTTAGATCAGCAATTTCTGATGTTTGGAGTACCGACAGCCCTTTTATCATCTGTTCTGAGCACAGCATTTGGGAGGGCACTGTGCGATGTGAATTAAGCTAGAAGTATAGTGCACACGTGTTTTGACATGACTGGAACGTCAGGGTCAAATACATCAACAAATACAGTGCCCTTTATTGCTCTGTTAGTCTCGAATGACCGATTTAAGGTAATTGGATCTTATTTCCAAATAAATGATTCAGCATAGATTCAGTTTGACTTTATGTCAAGAAGACTGATGCTTAACCTAGTATCTTGTAATCCACGCTACTTCATTTTGTCAGCTCACGACAGAGGGAAAGCCCATGTTCACTGAGCATGACTTATACTTGTAAACTATGTTTTAAGCAGAAAAAGTAAAAATCCAATCTCTCGTCCACATGGACTATGGGCCTGCTTTGTTTTCTAATTTAGTAGCAAAACCAAGTTAAATGACGGCAGGATAACATTCTTGCTTAACAAATAAATACAGATATAAACATTTTATAGGTTAAGGCCACCATCAGCTATTTAGGGTGAGAGAACTGTCTTCATAAAAGCATTTAGTTTTGATTAAAAATAAAAATGATGAAGCATCCATCAAATAATTGGTAAATTGTTCCCATAGTTGTCTTTCTCATTCACATGTGACTTAATTGTGGTACTAATTTCTTAGCTTCATTTTTCCATTCATTGTATCCTCATCTGGTAGACTGATAAATTGAAAATCCCTTTATTACAAGATTTCTGGTCCACTGTAGGTATTAATACATCATGATCAAGACTCCTCTTACATTCATCTTCAAGCTCGAACTTTGTAAGCTGTTACTTTTCCAGTCCTTTCTTCCTCCTCCTAACTGTTCTCTGGTGATTTCCAGTTTTTCAGTTAACTTTTCTGTATTACTGGACCAAAAGGAGAAGTAGTATTCCAGCGCCTACACCAGTGCCAAATACAGGGGTAAAATAATCACTACCCTGCAGGAAGGCAGAGCTGTTTGCTTTAACATCAGCATGCTGTCACAGTTTTGAAGTCTCAGTTCTGTCCTACTGTCTTGGGAATCTGTTTCTGTCACTGCAGCATGTTCCAGCCATCCACAAGGTGTCCCATAGCTTCTCTGACAGGCAGGATCTTCCAGACCAGCTTTCAGTGAAATTGGAACTCAGCAGGAAGCCCTGTGAGGATGAGAAACCAGATTTTACATCCTCAGTTACTAGGGCCTATTGGGCCAGCCTTTCCTTGTGATACCTGTGGGTTCAGAAAAATCTTGCTTCCCTGTGCTAAAACCAGTGTTGCACCACTGAGCATCTGAGCCCTCCTGCTGCAATGGAGCTAGATTTTCACTCCTCCCTCAGGGCATCGGATCTATCCTCTCTTCGATCATATACCCGTCAGTCACATCACTCCTATAGCCACAGTGTTGTAACTGGAAGCTCATATTGAATCCATTTTCTACCCTGTCTTCAGGGTGTTCTTTTTGGTCTTTACTACCAACAGTCCAGTCCCCATCCCTTAACTATGGCCTGTCTCTGATTCTGTATGCTGCAAGCTTGAAAATGTTTGCCTTGCTAACTTGGCAAGCATTCAGCATTGCTCTGAATCAACAGGTGTTCTTCTTCATTACCTGTAGTTACCCTAGTCTTAAAAATGAAACCAGGAAGAATATTGTAAGAAGTCAGTGCAAGAATCCACCCTTGTAAAAATACAGGGCAGTCTTGTGTAGCCTGTATTCAGTTCGGATATAAGCAGCTGTTCACTTTGAGAACTTTTTTACACAGGCACACTTCATGCTGTCAAGGAAGTTTGCATTTCTTTTGCATGGTCTTTATTGCCTCACTTTATCACATGCCTCCACAATACAGCGTCTAGCCATGGATGGCATTGCATGTCATAGTCTAGTCTAAGAAAATGGCGCAGGGAGGCTAATGAGCTTACATCCTCCAATGCCTGTGCTCTCAGCTGAATCCTTGTAAAAGCCTTTCCCAGACATTAACCAGAGGACGTTTAAGGCTCATTTAGCCAGACAGATCCATCTCTTTCCCAAGATACAAGCACAGAAGATGGCTCATCAACACTCTAGAACTGGGCATTTCCACCAGCATCCTATAATTAAAGCAGAATGATTAAGCCCTGGTTGCTCATTTCAGAACTGGAAGTGGAAGAACCATCCACAGATTCTAGATTGATAGGGCGCAGATAGACTGTTGTTTGCATCAGCACTGTACTTAACTGTTTTGTTTTGATAAGCTTAATCAGTGCTTTTCCCTCTTCTCTGTTTAGCAGTACTCATTTTCTGTGCTCCCTCTCTTTATTACCCTGTTATTTTGTAATGGGAGCTGTAATCACAACCAATAATTACAGAGAAAATGAACTGATTATCGCTTGTTGAAAAACAAAACAAACAACCTTTCTTCAGATAGACCTACCCTCCCTTTGCAGCCAATTCAGGCTCTATGTCACCCTCTTCCCTGTGGATACTCTGCCCCCTTTTCCATGAAGGCTCAGCATTCCCTTTGTTCTTAAAGCCAGGCCAGGGCTTGATGTTACCCTGGAGAGAGGAGAGGGGGGTGCTCAGCACCCCCTGCTGTGATTTCAGGATGGAAGGCTTTTTCTTCTTTTGCTCCCAGCCTGGAAAGGTTCAGTCAATCTTGAACTAATAAGAATTTATTAAGCTGATAATAGGATAACTGGAACTCAGTCCAAATACAAGCCATTTATTCTTCCTTTAGCTATTAAATATCTCACCTTGTACAGTCTGGCAGCTTCTGCCAAACCCTAATCACTCAGTCACTTGATTGCTACCTCCTTCTGGTCTTTCGCCCCTCTGATGTCTGACAGCTATCACTGTCAGCTATCCTATCTACACAAAACACAAGCATAGAAATCACTTTCTTCATCAGCCTAAAAACATTATGCAACTAAATCACCTCCCTGGTTCTCCTTCTCTAATCACATCAAGATTAATCTTTTTTTTTCCTTTCAAGACCTCAAGTCTCTCCACATTCATCTACATTTCTTACCCAGTTTCGTTTAGCATCCCATGTCAGCTGTTTTGGCAGTAATGTCAGCCTGTTTATTTCTTCCATAATAGTTTCCCAATACTTTCCCGTGATAACATCTCTCCTACACACAGTCCTCAGAGAATTCATGTTCAGGCTACCCATATTACATCAACAGTCATTTAACACTACAAACCGAAGATACAGTCATTTAGATTGAGTCATTTTGATAAATATTCTCTTAGTTGAGAAATCATGTGACATCGCAATATTTTGTCTTGGCTTACTATCTGTTTATATAATGCTCTCAGAAAGATTTGGTCAGTAAAAAAAAGACTGTGTATGTGATAAGAACTGGTAGTTCCAGGTAGAGGGACAAGCATGATCACCGCCAAGGACTGCTGAATGCAGGAGGCATGGTTTCATAAGCTATCCGTCCTTCCACCTGACCACAGCTGACTGCTAGGAGACTTTGCCAGGCTCTGTGTGTATTTGTGGCAGGCTGGCCTTTTACATTTGTGCAGTGTATTTAAATAAGAACTACACTCCAGAGAGTGATGTTTCCCACATCTTATATACACTACTATAATAATAAACAGCCAATAGATAGATATATTGTATCTTCTTCAAAACAGCCCTGTTCCAATTGAGAAATCAATGAAGAAATTCTCTGGTGGTGAAAGGGGTGAAATAACTTTCAACTC